AAGGCAAGTAGAATAGCAATTCAGAGCACATTAGTTTGGATGCTAGGGAGTAAGAACTCACCTTTGTTTACCAAGCTGTAAGCTTTAAAGTAAAAGTTGCAATGCTTTAATACGCTGCTTACAGAGTGACAGTGCCCTGAGTGTAAAACTACAAGGCAAAAAATTTTATTTATTAATTATTATTTTTTGAGACAGAGCCTCAAGCTGTTGTCCTGGGTAGAGAGCTACAGCATCACAGCTCACAGCAACCTCCAACTCCTGGGCTTAAGCAATTCTCTTGCCTCAGCCTCCCAAGTAGCTAGGACCACAGGCGCCCACCACAATGCCTGGATATTTTTTGGTTGTAGTTGTCATTGTTTGGCAGGCCTGGGCTGGATTTGAACCCGCCAGCTCAGGTGTATGTGGCTGGTGGCTTAGCCTCTTGAGGTACAGGTGTTGAGCCAGCAAAAAATTTTAATAACTTAAATTTCAAAAACTAGAGCACGTATTCTAGATTGATGAAAAACTAATTGGCAATTACTGTTAGAACTACCTCTACTGCAGTGCTGGGGAAAGAACATGAGCCTTATCACTTTATTATATGAATTTATAGGGAAAGTACCTAAGTCAGGCACATAATAATAAATCGTTATTTTTGTCCATCTAGTGGTTCTATTTTGGAAGTCATACCTGATGTCATACTTAGTCTCTTTTTTGTGTGTAAGAACTTTTCACACTGAGTTCCTTCATTTAAAAAAATACTCTTGGCCGAGCAGGAGGCTCATGCTTGTAATCCTAGCACTCTGGGAGGCTGAGGCAGGTGGATCGCCTGATCTCATAGGTTCAAGACCAACCTGAGCCAGAGCAAGACCTTATCTTTAAAAAATAGCCAGGTGTTGTGGCAGGTCCTGGTATTCCCAGCTACTTGGGAGGCTGAGGCAAGAGAATAGCTTGAGCCCAAGAGTTTGTGGTTGCTGCGAGCAATGATGCCACAGCACTCTACTGAGGGTGACAAAATAAGACCTTGTTTTCCTCCCACCCCCCAAAAAAGAACCACTCTTGAGCTGGGTGTGTTAGCTCATGCCTGTAATCTCAGCACTTTGGGAGGGCAAAGCAGGAGGGCTGCAAGAGGCTAGGAGTTTGACACTAGCCTGGGCAACAGAACGTGACCCTATTTCCAAAAATAAATAAATATAAACAAATACGCATACACACAAACACCACACTCTTGGACCATGGTGTTTTCCAAAGCTTTCCTAATAAAGCACTATTAGTGCTTAATCTTTATATTTCATTTATATTAAACTTGGGGATTGGCTCGGTGCCTATAGCTCAACCGGCTAAGGCGCCAGCCACGTACACCTAAGGTGGCGGGTTCGAATCCCCAGCCCGGACCC